TCTCTACTTATTCATAAGAGCTGCTATCCTTCCATTTCATGAAGGGTTTCGTAGAGGGGTCGATTCGGCTCTTGATTCACGAAGCTCTTCCACTGAAAGGGAACCAGAACCACAAGGACTGCAGTTCATATGTGTGGACCAAGAATGACCTAAGTCCATTGATCGCACTGAAAAAGAAGAAGATGGATCAACCACTTGCGAATTAACCTTGATATGAGACTGATGAATATCCATATATCTCGATTTGTTTCGAAGAGATTATGTGAAGGAGGAATAGTTCCAAGGACCGAAGCAGCATTACCACGTTGAATAGCAATACTGATTATTTCTATCAAAAAGAGGTAGAACGATGATCTTTCATTTTTTGGCATATTCTCCTTCCGAGTTCATGAACGAATAACAGAGACTCCGGGCTATGAACACCAAAAGTTTCAACAGCTAATGGATGGAACAAATAGTTTATACCAAGATTTTGGTATTTTTTTCGTTTCAATTTTACGCCAGACAATGCTGCGGTTCCAGCAGACTTCGAACTTTTGGTTAGAAGGGAAACCGCGATCGTATCAAAACAAGTGAAGTCCCATACCACAGGTTTACCGTATTTCCATGGTATGAGAGAAATACCATCTGGTCGTTTACGATCATCTCGACTGGTACCTAAGGGTTCCAGAATTGCAGGAACATCCGCTACACTTCTATTTAAATCATTATAAAATCGATTCAGAAAAATGCTCTCGGAAAGTTTATTTCACAAGGACATCATTTTTCAAGTTCTCGGAAAGTTTATTCCACAAGGACGTCATTTTTCAAGTATGACAGCTTTCGAAAAGTCAAAGGTATATTGCGTTGAACCTTTGAAAGATAGCCACTCTAATACCTCACCGCTTTTGAGGAAATCAGGTAACATAAGTTATTGTATCATTTCTCTTGTATCATTTCTCTACAAAAAGGGGGCAACTTCCCAACTTTCATTCAAGTTTTATCAACGTTGCGATGTTTGGATCTCCAATTAGGAAAATTTCTTTTTTGTAGGAAACCCAGCAGTCACAGGGAAGGAACATCAGATATAAAAGGTGATCTATCAAATTTGGTCCAATCTGGATATATCAAAACATTACAGTAAAACAATAGTGTTTCCTATTTTAATGAGACGATTGTTACCCAAGTGAAACCTGCCATCCAAATTGGCACTCAATGAGATAATCGGTGTAGCCACTGTGGAAATTAATTGTTCAAATATCAAAGCACATATTAGAGAAAACTGATGGTTTATTCCAGAGGCGTATCGAAGATTACTGCTTGGAAGGGGCAAATTATCAAACTCATTTTAGAAATAAAGTGGGAAACCAACTTCAAAAATAGTGCCACAAAAGAATATTCTTCCATTAGGTCAATTATTTCAGAATCACAGCGAGATTTATTTTTTATCAATATACCTACTAAGCCATAGAAGAGTGTCTTATCTTGTCTCGGTTAAAACAAGATGAGATTTTTCTTTGGAAAGTTTTTTTAAAGAAGACATCTGAATAATTGCATTCATGGCAATATTCAGTTTTACGAATAAGAGGCAGAGACGGTGAACAGTTTCTCATTCGGTGATGAACGTTGAAGATGGCAACAGTCAAGTCAAAAATGTTTAAGTATTGGTTTTTAAGAATATTTACAAAATATTGTGAATGTGTATTGTGTTGTGTGGGGCCCTGCTATAGGCTTATGACTCTTCAGGGTAAATGGCAACAGATGGCAAAAGGATGGCTATTGGGACCCCTGTTTGTCTTTGATGAGCGAGGTTTGCAATTCTAGTTCTGGTCCAGAAATGAATTAGAATTTCCTTCAGAAATCATTTCCCATTGAGATATATTTTTTGTTTGAAATTTTCGATATACTGAAGTGATAGATCGGAATTTTATAATGTAATCTGTAGGTGGGATATTAGGGAAAGAAGTCGTCTAAAATATATAGTTTAAATGTGAATAAGTTAGTATTTATTCAAATACCCACTGAGCATCTGACTGCACGCAAAAATTTTTTTGAAAAACACATTTTGAAAAAAATTAGTGTATTCTACACTTTCCATGTGTCTGATGTCATAATTTCAGCTGGAACCCACAATTTCTAAAGAATTCTACAAACAGACTATCAACCAGGTGTATCCAACTTTCAGAAACGAAGGTAAGAATCGTAGAACATTGAATTACTTTGACGAATTAATTTAATCAATGCTGATAGATTTTCTAATGGAAGTTGGCTCGTGTTCAAATCAACTCGTTTTTCTCTCTATACTTTGATAAGGGTCATCTAAAGATAAGCGGAAGAACATTTTCTGTTTATGCTTATGCTGTTTTTTTGTCAATCAGTTTATCAATTCAAGAAAGACGATATTGTTAATATAATTATAGATGAAACTTCTATATCGAATAAATCAGGAGTATATAAGTTGCCTTGTGGTTCTCCTCACAACTTTTATACTGCTTAAATGGCAGATTTTTAGTGAAAACAATGAAAGAATATTGTAGTACTGTTTCAAATGAAACCACCTTTTGCCAGATGGGCATTAATAATGACTATGAGGAAGGTAAGAGAAAGGTATACAATTCAGTCTTCAATAACGCTCATAAATTAATAACTACAAATTTCAGAAGAAGAACTCGAGATGAATTCGAATTGTATTGGTTATTACATAATTGAAAAATTAAAAGTGAGGTAAGAGAACCTAGGTAGTAAGTACTAATTACATGTTTTCAAAATCGTCATCAAACTATGTTAATTTATTTTGATTTTTCTTTGAATAAGATTGGAACATGGCATGTTTCTTCATTATTTGGGGTCGTATATGATCCGTGCAAAATAAGCAGAATATTAGATGGCAACGCTCTTTGTCTGTAATCTTTTAATTTCAAAGAGTTACTATTACCGAACAACACAATGTACCAGCAATGTTAGGTTAGGTCCGAAGTGAGTGGGTCTATTCGACCCTCCATCGCAAACCGCAAGGGTTTATTGTGGCTGACACCTATTCACACTCGACCAAATGAACCCAGCTCCTTAACGAAGCCGATTAGTAGTACGGCTCTGCCGAACTCTAAAAATCTGATTCAGTCCCCAGCGGGGCAGGTACAAATTATATGCTCTGCTGTTTCATCGTTAATGAGGTAGTCGGATAGTCGAGGTGCGAAATTTTCATTTTGCACGTCATCTACACCTGACGATGCCTTAGATTCAGCCGTGCAGGGCTTTTTTGCCTCTGGTTTTGGTGAATCATCACTTGAGCGCAAAAGTTTGCTAACCTGCTCATGGGGGGTTTGTTCCTCCATCTGAGACAGATTCTGCGTACGCCGCTCAAGAATTTGGTGCAAGGGGGTTTCATAAGGTACCCCGCTTTTGAGGAGACGACTCAGTCGTTTTCTGGCTGCACCACCAAACCTTTTTTTTAGGTTCAGTTATTGGATCAGGAGTTGAAGAGTTGAGAAGCTCTCCCTCCTGGTCTAAATTTACAGGGAGGTCAGTTGGAGTCGAAAGCTCGACATCTATCTCCTCTGTAGACTCAGCGTCAGAAAGAATTTTTAAAGTTTACTCTGTCCATAAAAGTCCCACGAATAGCTAGGGAAAGAAAATCAATCACGGCAGAGCCCCGCATTACCGTGACAAGGCGATGCTACGACGAGAGAGTGCCCGGTATCTCGAAGGTTCCGTAGAGACAGCTGATAGGCTCAGTGTCATTTATCCTCTCGGTAAGGATACACACACCCTTAGGCCATCGTTGGGATGCCATTCAGTTAGGGAATAACCACAAATGATTCTGTCATTTCCATATCCAGTGGGGCTAAGTGGAAGTAGGCATCCGATGACTCCGGTTTGCTCAACCCCCACATCCCAAGCCAATGCACTCGCCAAAAACAGCATGCACAGTGGTTCAAGCAGTGAAAGATGAACAAGGACAGCTAACCCGCCACCAGCAATGTATTCTGTGTGAGGAATTAGCCAAGTAATTGTTTTCAAGCAAACATTTACCAAATCCTAGTAAAACTGAGAAAAAATGATGTTGGAGTGAATATGAACAAAGTGGGTTTTCGGCAAACTCTCGTTAGAATATGCAATCGTTAAACAATTTCAAACAAATGAGTGTTGAAAGTGACTACAATGTTTATTTTTTCAACAGTCAGTAAGTATTGTACAAAAAAATCTGTTTAAAATCTGTTTTTCCGTTAATCGGCTTTATATTCCAGGTCAAGCTAACGTGAAGAATATACCTCTTGTTAACCCCAAAAACGTTTTGTTACCTCCATTACACATTAAACTGGGGTAAATGAACATTTTTGTAAAAGCATTAAACAAATATCTCAAACACGTTTTTCCAAAATTAAGTGATGCAAAGATCAAGAAAGGTATATTTGTTGGACTACAAAATAGAAAACTACTGAGTGATCAACAGTTTGATCAAACATTAAGTAATGGTGAATTAGCTGTGTGGAGTTCTTTCGAAAGAACTGTTTCGGAGCTTTTAACGTGTGATTCCTAACACGGTACCACACTTCAATTAATACATTTAGTGTGGAGTTGCAGAAATTATTGATCATAATCAAATAAAAAATCTGAATCTGAATAAAAAATGGCTCATAGTAATTCCTTCATTATCAACAAAAATTACTTGATCTCGTCATTCATTTTAATTATTACAAATTAAACTGATTCAAAACATAGTTATTAAAAATCCATTTTCAGTTATTTGACAGTAGCTGTAAAATCAATCAACTTCAAGACTGAATTTTAAATTCTATAAAAAAGTCGTGCCTGTTGTCTCTGATTGGTTATCATATTCGTTTGTAGATAACCAAACGTAGGTTTGAATTTGATACAAACATTTTCCTTCACCTATTTTTTTTTTTGTAATTTACGATTACAGTACTCGTTTTAAAAAAATTGGAATAGGGTTACGATTTGCATATTCCATATATTCGTTTTCCAGTTTGAATATTTATGTTTCTGAAACTTAATGGACTTCCATTTTAATATGAAACTGATATCGTAATGGTGAATAGATATAATATATAGAATAATTGAATGAACATCCATATCCACCTGAACCATCTGCCAATGCACTAATATTTTTGTGAATAATCAATATCTCGAAAGCGTTCAGTGAAAATGAACATTTTGCTTATATTGAGCATTGTTGGTGAGTGAACAAATCAATATTTTTTGAGTTTGAATTATGCTAGTGGATGCAAAGGTTATATTAAAAAATAATCATCATTATTTCTAATAACTTGTTTCCTGAGTAACAGTAGGAAAAATTTTGAAACATATCATTCAATCCTAATTAGTGAAAGAATGACACATTCGTTTACTAATACATTCACAGCGTTTGAAATAATCGTGTTATATATTTTCGCCATGACTGGACCAAGGGCCCCTTCTATTCATTGGGGTTCCAAAGGCTCCTTCAATTATTTGGGGATAGTTCTTGATTTTACTTGTTGTCTTGTCTTTTTACATAATTCATAACATTCGCGTGAGTGTAGGGTAACATTTGCCCTATGAGAGATAGAAGCTTAAATAACTGAAGAGAAACTTGCAGTTTTCGAAGCTGACAAAAAATTATTTTTAATATTCATTCATATTCCTATTTATATTTTTCAACATAGTCTACTTTCAACTCCCAGCGATGGTCCCATCTCTGTAACCCGTCCAAATATTACTCGAGGTTTTTCTCTGCAAAATAATTGTTCATGAAGGCGATTGCCTCTTCATTTGACAAAAAGCTCTGTCTTCCGAGCGCAGTTTTCAGATGAGGGGACAAAAAGAAGTCGCTTGGGGCTAGATCTGGTGAGTTAGGCGGATGGTTCAATCCCTAATTCGTGGATTTTCGACATGGCAACCGCTGAGGTGTGAGACGGTGCAATGTCTTGGTCTGCAAATGTGGCCGTTTTTCCACAAGTCCTACCTTCAGCTTGCCCAGCAATGATGCATAGTATGGTCTGGTAATGTTTTTTCTTTTTGAAGATAATCGATTGAAATAACTCCATGACTATCCCATCACTTTCCCAGCCAAAAATACATTTTTTGTTTTTTTTTGGAGCCGGTTCCCCCTTCACAGTCCACTATTTGGACTGTATTTTTGTTTCGGGCATAAAATGTTGTATCCAAGTTCCATCTATCTAAAGTAATTAATTACACCAAATACACCAAACCTCGGATTTATTGCACCTGAACTGCGCCAACATGGCGTTGGAAATTCGAAAACGTTTTTGGTCTGACGTGAGCAAACGCGGCACTCAACGCGCGACAGCTTTCTCATACCTAAATGTTGATTTAATATATGACAAATACGTCCTTTTGACATGTTCGTAACCTCTGCTATCTCTCACTTTAATTCGGCGATCGTCAAGCATCATTTGGTGAACTTTGGTGATGTTTTCGTCGGTAGTTGCAGTTTTTGGACGTCCTGAAAGTTCATCATCTCCCAAGCTCTTACGGTCACGTTTAAATTCAGCTGCCAAAATTTCACTGTGGTAAATGATGGTGCAGAGTCTCAATACACAGAATCCAACTCATCTTTGATTTGCGTTGGTGTATTGCCTTTCAAAAACGAATATTTAATGACAGCACGATATTCGATTTGTCAATTTTTATAAAAACACTCACATCAACTCTTTCGAACGACTGTTTGTAGTTTGGAGTTGTCTGACTGCTTTACTACATTTGGTAGGATATTTTGTGAGACCAACTGGAGCATTCAATATTTACCGTAGTCGTAGACGAAATGTCAGGCATAAAAACCTCAGGCCACGTCCAGTAAACCTAGAAAATAGCTTTACTATGGTTGTTCCTATTCTATTTAAATTATTCTAGGAACTCACAGTATAGTGGATTCCAAGACAAAGTCGATCAGAGACATACCGAGATATCTACCAAACACCTATCCAGGTTTCGAACAAAGTTCTGTTACTTTAATAGGACCAGATGGAACAGAAATTGAAGGATATTTTTTTATGAATGACCAACTTGCCAGAGACGGCATAATGGATATATTTGGTTCTGATGTGGAAAATGATGTCACTTTCACTTTGTACAATCGGTGAGTAATATGAAATATATCTAACAATGTCAATTTATCACTGGCACTGGAAGTTTAGAATGTGTGTTTTCACGACTGGGGTTAATGTTTTGATTGGCTGATGATAAAAAACAATCAAAAAATTAAAAAAAATATTTCAAAAGTTACTTCACGCTTCGATTGTGAATACTACATTCGTTATGATGATGACACATTCATCACCCGAAGACGATTGTGAATACTAAAAATCAAAACGTCGTGAAGTAACTTGATGTGAAATCTTCTTTTGATTTTCTAATTGTTTTCTTAATTTTTTACTTATTTTTCATTTATTTTTACTCTCTGGTCATTTTCATCTTTAATCTTGATTATTTTATTGTATTTTTGTTTCATTGCTCAATATAATTGATATTTTCGCTATTCATTCTAATTCCATTCGTTGTTTCATAGATTTCGAATCATATTAGACAATGGAAGTCCGAACAAGTAAAATTTGCAATGAAACATTGTCAACCACTTCAAAAAACATTCATTTATTGATCAGTTGAAAATATTAAATATGTCGAGGTAACAGGTTTTGGAAAACAATCAATATTTCTCATCATCTGTTCCATACGCTTTCAGCAAATACTTGCAGCATCTAAACATATTTTAAACCTACCCTCAACATTCTTTATATACTACTTAGTTATTTCCAAGTAAGAAAAATGTTAGTGTATTTCACGAACGTGCATCCAATCTGACAATCATATTGTTACGTTTTTACCCATGGGTTGATCAATAATTGACTATACTGAATAATCAAACTTAAATTTATTTCACTTTAATTACAACAAACAATTCAACTAAAACTTCAACTATAATTTGAATGTCTATCGCCTTACTAGATCACTTCGCGTACCGCACTGTAAAGTCCACTTCACTGTGTACTTGACTGTCTCGATATGCCCGCCGCTAGCGTTTAAATATCGTAATCGAACATCGTAAAATTTTCGCCGAAGTTCTTTGCTGCTTCTCTAGCGACAGGGATCATTGGTCATCCCCGCGGTCTTAGCTACGTCACGTTTGGTTTATGATTACCAGTGGCGGCCGCCGTTACTTTCTTTCGGGCATAATCTACAACAATATCAATGTGGTTTATTCATCATCAGGGCTTTCCTATTCTGGCGGAATATTTAGCGTTCTCTTCTTCGAAGTTTTTCTGAATCGATTTTCCCATTTTCCTTGACTTCATTTGTTAAACTTCTTAATTGGGAAGTCAGTCTCAAAACTCTGTTTCCCAGCATCTATTCTTTGTGACTTTGTGACCAAATCTTCTCTCAAGCGCCCTGCTGTAATTTAAGGTTCATTATTTTTCTTGATTCTCAATTTTTTTCAACTGGAATCATAATTTTTCGTAAAACCTATAGTTCAAATATTCTCATATATCTTCGTGAGGCACGTTGTATTTGATTGCTACTTAGTAAATCTTTCGTTCTATATTTCTGCTTATATTCTTGTCAATCAAAGTATGTCTCCAGTCCTCTCTTCCCTGTTTCCTTTGCTTTGCATAGTTTCATGACAACTCTTACTACTACTGTATTGTGGTCAATAAAAAGTCATCATGTCCTACTTCTGTTTCGACGACAATTGCTTGTTCAGCTCCTTCATCTGTTACGATTCTTGCTCAAGATATCAAGATGTCAAAAAAATAGCCGGAATTGGTCAATGGAACGCAAAATATGTCTTATTCAACCAGTATATAACCGGTATATTCGCCAATGAACAATCCAATCATCAAAACATTTTTTTAGCACATTTTTTGAAATCGACTTCAGTGGTCGCTGCGAATTTTCTTTTATGTCATCTATCGAGTTTGAGTTTCGTAAAAAGAAAAATCGGCCGGAGACAAATCAGGTGAATACGGTGGCTGTTCGATAAGGTTTGTTGGCCACTTTCACACATCTGATCTTTTTGACGAATTCACTATCTCAAATACTGCATAACGTTCATATAATATTCTTTATTTACTGTCTCATCTTCTGCCAAAGTGAGGCAGAAAACTGTTGATAACACCTTTACTTTTGATCGACTCTAACGAACGCTTTCCGGTTTCGGCTCAGTTGAAAAATGCCATTCCGAAGCCTGTTGAATGGTTTGCATAGGTATCGAATTCGTGCACCAATGGTTAATTAACAAATTGACTACTGTAACAAAAATGACACTAAAACTCTGCATGAGTATAGAGGACAGTTGTGCCAACCTAGCTACATAATTAAAACCTTACTGTTGAGTGATGTACGAGAATTTTTTATATTATGTTACTGTGGTGTGTTATAATTCGCTGTGTCGCTATACTTTCTCTTCAAAGAGGAAATATATGAAACCATGATTGATTCTCGAGGGCAGACCACTTTAAGTTTGTATCTCATTTTGTATGTTAACGCATCCAAAGGAATGTTCAATTTATTCCACTTCTTGATAACTTTTTTAATATAGACGGTTTCTAAGTCATAGTTTTTGATAAACAATTTTAGTTTTCTTCAATCTCCACGTAGATGTCAGAATGGGATTGGGAAAATTAATCACTTACTGTTAGTAATAATTGAGAATATTCGTTTTATGAAGGTTTACCTTACAGGCAAAATCCCATTGGTCGGAGAATTACTAATTTCAATGAGTTACCCAAACACATAGACAAGAGTGAGAAAGTCAAGTGTGTGACTCATGGATGGCTTTCCAGTGGAGAAGCTAAATCATGCATCCTCATAAAAGATGCCTATTTGAATGCAACAAATTATAACGTAATTATTGTGGATTGGAGTCCCGTATCAGGTATACATGTTAACTTATCTAGGATAAAAAAATAAAAGCATAGTTACTTCAAGTGATTACATTGAAATACATTGCAGTAAGTTTAAAAAAATAGCAGTCGAATAACGGTCAACAGGGACGTATTCAGGATGTATTCCTGGGTGGGGAGGGGGTCATAAATGAAGAATCTCAATCCTGATTTAACTCAAGACGACGTGCAGGATGTGCGTCATTTAAACGAAGACATCCTGAGCGGTGAAATCATTGACAGATGAATCGATATCTGTCGCCGTCACATATTTCAAATCAATGCTTACATTACAAGAAATATTATCTTTTTTGAAATGATTTTCAAGTTACACCAAAATCTGTTAGGAATACATTTTTTCTGTTATTTGGTGAATATTTGCACCCTTTGCCCCCCTGCCCTGTATACGTCTCTGGAATTCTAAGAGAAATAATAGTTTTGATGGGGCAACATTTGAACCTAACTTCAGAGGGTGATTCTTCAGATCTCTTTAAAAAAAAAGTTTTTATGAACATATGTCCAGAGTTGCTTCGTTTCTGAGATACAGGGAGTTTAAAAAAAAACATTATACTTATGAAATATCCTTACACCGATTTGATTGAAATTAGCTATAGTTATTTGAAGTAATAAGGCACTTATTCAGCCCAAACTAGATTGAAATTTTTAGGTCCAGTGGCATCTCAGTCGGCCCCACAGACAACAATATTGAGAGAAAAAAAAAGAACGCCACTGACTTTTTTTTGTAATTCATTATTTTAAATTAGGCAATCAAAAATACAACTTTTTCGTCGCTTGTGTTTTCTTCATATCAAGCTTCGTTTTCGAAAAAAAAATCACTTTTGAAAACTATCTATGGACCAGAGGTCCCAAATTCTACTTATCATTTGATTTCATAATTAGTATTAGGAATTAGTATACTCATTTCCAGGAAATGTATTTTATCCTATTCCGATGAGAGCCACAGCCAGAGTCGCAGAATATTATGGCAAGTTTCTGAATTACCTTGTAGATAAAGCTGGTATCAATCCAAAAAACGTTCATCTGATTGGTCATAGTTTAGGAGCCCACGTATCTGGATTTGCTGGAAGACGTGTACGAAAAGGAAAAGTTGGAAGGATCACAGGTATTTTTTCCAATATTTAACAACTCCGCAGGAACCACTTTCAGATTCGAGTTATTTATTTTAATGACAAGTTGCATGTCTTCGCAAGATGAGGACGAATTAGGAGAAGGGGATTTAGGCAGTTTGATAACATTTTGGTTTTCTACTTCTTCATATGAAATGAAAATCATGCTTCTCTTTTCGGTTTGTACTTCAAGCATTCGTTGGGGAATTGAAACAGAAATCGTTCACAGGAACGTTACACAACGTAAGAGCATTGATATAAAATTTCATTTTCATTTAAATCTATCACTGATTGGACTACATTTTGATTGCCAGTAACATGAAATTATAGCACTCAGGAATCTCTTCCATACCTCTGTTAAGTGGTATCAACTACGCGACTGGCTGAATGACTGAACTTCCAAGACCAAAAAAAACTATCAACTTAAGGTGTACTTCTTGTTCAGAAATCAAAATAAATCCGATGACTGTGTTGAGGAAGAGATACTGAGAAATCAATTGAGTATTTGGATTTGGAATTCAAAACTTTCTTCTCCCCAAGTCCCTATACAGTATGACATGGTAAATGCCTACCAAAAAACAACTACTCCACCGTAGGTAAAATAGAACCTTTCCCAGGTTCGTATATAGGGTCGAGCTGCGATGAAATGACTCAAGTCACAGACATACTACTGCTTAGTTGTATAGTCGAAGTGACCGATATAGTAATCTTAAAGGTGTCGGCGAAGTCAAAGGCCAAAAAACCAATACAAAGGAATTATGCCGCAACGAATTAGTCCACGTGGACTGAAGAATTGGCGGTTCGAATTGGATTATTTTTACTAACCGAGTTTTATGATTGGCTGAAGAGTCATAAAATTAAATTTGAAGTCATGTTACGGTGACCAACAGAATGTAGGGATGAGTACCGCGTTGTGTGTGTTATTAAAGGGGAACTGCTGGAAGGTAGGGGGCACTATATCTTTCACTTGAACTATATCTGTACTAACTAGGAGTGACACTCCAAAACTGTAGTTGATCACTCGATTGGTTACTGCGAAGTACGGTTGTCATACGAACGGGAAGATGTGCACAATTGTCTGTCGTATATAATTCAATACCCTGCGTGGTATCAGCCGGGAAAGTAGTTGTTTTTCGCCAAAAATTTTCCATTTTTTATTGGTTGGGTGACGATTTAGAAAATGCCTGTATGGGATACACTTTAGGCTAGTTTAGACTAACATCTTTAACCCAACTGTTAGCTGTTGCTCAATTCGTCATTTTTGAAAGGGGGACATATTGTTTGATGACCATCATGCCAGCATCACATCGAACTTATTTAAAACTGTAATATTCAATAGAACCGACTAACAGAAGGTTGGGTGAATATAATGCAATGCCCGCCATTTGTTTTCAAGTTAATTTTCATTGATGAACAATGATGATATATTATTCTTTTTCAAGCTCTGGACCCTGCTATGCCTGGTTTCAACATAGGATTAGTAGAGGGAGGGCGCCTAAACATCAATGATGCAGAATTTGTGGACGTAATACATACCTGCTCCGGATATCTGGGAATCAGGGATCCAATAGGACATGCTGATTTCTATCCAAACGGAGGAGGCCCTCCCCAACCGGGCTGCACTATTATCAGGGTAAGGTATTATCCAGATTCAAACTTTATGTACTCGGTAGATACTTGATAATGGTTGATGAGGAACATGTCAATAATACTGAGCGAGAATTTCTCGTTTTAAATCTTCTACAGGCAAAGTTATAACTGAAATAAATTACAAATTGTGTTACGCCTATAGATTTCATTAATAAGTGTTGGCTTGTGTCTTCCTAACATCAGTCTACAGGGAAATACCATGGTAACTGCAGTTGCTAAGAGGCCCACTAGCAACTTCAAAATCAATTTCTGCATCAGAAACGATCTCTCCTGTCGATGAGTGGAAATGCTGGCACTCCGAAACTTTGATATTATGTGGTTCAAAATAATATCACAGAAGATCACCAAATTCATATGCTGCGTTTATCGTCCACCTACTAGCGATACACAATAAAGGGCACTATTCTCTTCACTTGCAAACACCATTGACTTTCTGCAAATCGATCATCCCAGTGCCGAAATTTCCATATTCGGTAACTTCAATGTCCACAATATCGAATGGCTCAAATTTTCAAATATCAACGATAAATAAGGTCGCGGAGCTGAGGCTTTTGCAATAAGCAAAGGACTTACTCAGATTATAAATGAGCCAACCAGGATTCCTGACCGTGATGAAGAATATGCTAGTGTTCTGGATCTATACTGAACAACCAATCCAGACATTTACACAGTCACTTAAGGTCTCCATTGGGATCTTCTGACCACAAACTCACTTCAGTGTTCAGTGAATTACCGATAAATGTTGGGAACAATCTAAGCCGCGCAAAGGTTGGCATTACATATCAGCTGAATGGGAGGATCTTCAAGACCATTTCCGAAATTTCCCCTGGCTAGATGTTTGTTTCAGCTCTATAGATCCATTAACTTGTGCTTCTGCAGTCACGAAAGTTATTCTACCATACATGGATGCATATATTCCTTTTTCAATGAAACGACCTTCTAACGGCACACCTTGGTTCAACAAAAATTGCGAGTATGCTGTCGCCAAGACAGCACACTTGTCTCGTCATTTTACCGGCAGCTGGAGGTTGCATATCTTAATGAGGATCTAGAAGTGATTTCGAATTGGGGTGAAAGTAGCCAGGTTCATTTCAATGCCACAAAAACCCAGGCATCGGTTTTCTTCAAGAAGATAAATGTCTCCGAACTGAATATAATAACGTTAACTCAGTTTGTTAGGGGTTAAAATGGACACCAATATGTCTTGGCACAATCATGTCGCTGAAATTGCAAAGGCTGATTCAGAACACTGTTCCGAACCAGAAAACCGTACACACCTCAGCAACTTTTGATGCTTTATAAAGCTCAAAGCAGACCTTCTTTGGAGTATTGTTCACATATATAGAGCTTTGCCCCTAAACATAACCTGAAGTTGCTGGATTCCTTCCAGAAAAGAGCCATTCGCCTGATTGGGGACGCGAACATATTGTGCAACCTTGATAGCCTGGAACATCGAAGAAAGGTTGGAGTTTTGTCTCTCTTCTAAAGATAAGCATAAGCTTTCTTTGCAACTTCCATAACTTCATTTTCTACAACCAAGCCGCATAAATCAATAATTTCGTTTTGAATCAATAATAATGATTTCATCTTATCATTTAAGTGTTCAAGTGACTTGGCACATTTGATTCCACATATCAGAAATACGCGACGCACTGTGGCTGATCATCGTTTTGAGGTTTCAACTCAGTATACTTCGAACTTCACTGTTTAAGGACTCTTTCATCTGGAAAACTGCGTTAATGTTGAATGAACTTCCTGAGAACGTTTTTCCAAATTGATTTAACCATCGCTCTGACAACGCCTCAAGGATTTTCCTGTAGTGATTGTGTTTTGTCCTTACAAAAAAAAAGAAAAAAATATTCAAACTTCGATAACACTCTTCAGACTAAACTAGCATAATTACTCTACTAGTTACCTTTTCCATTTGCTTATTATAATGAGTTGTTTCTACAAATTTGCTACTCAGCGATATACCACAGATCTTTATATAGGGTCTTCCAAAAAGACTTCCGAACTTTGACAATTGATAATGGACACATTGTTGAAGCAACATCTGTCAAATCAGTTGTCATTTATTCATTCTGTGTTGCCAAATCACCATAGACGGATATAGCATTCAACAACACGTGCAAATAATGAAATTGTTTTACCAGAATGGGTGTTCTGTTCGGGCAACGTACCGCACGCTCCGTTCATTTTACGGTCGACATAATCGTCCTACCGAGAGGACTATTTGCAATGTGGTGGATGTGTTCGAGTCCTCTGGTTCAGTAAACGATCGACTAACACCCGTACGTCGACGAAACGCAAGATCTGCCGAAAACATCGCTGTTGTCCGTGAGAGTGTGCAGGAGAATCCGAGGCAGTCGATTTCGCATCGCTTACAAAAACTTGGCCATTCGCAGACCATAACTTGGCAAATTTTGCGTCGTGACTTGGACCTGCACTTGTACAAAATTCAACTGACCCAGGAATTAAAGGTAAACAATCATTGACAACGATTTATGTTCATTGAATGGCCTCTGGAGCAGTAGGCAACTGACTAATATTCATCGAAAAATCATATTCAGCCATGAGACCCCTTTCTTGATGAATGGGGGTACGTGAACAAACAAATTGTCGAATTTGGAACGGTACCAATCCACACGAGATCTATAAGCGTCCAATGCATTCCGAAAAAGTCATTTTTTGGTGTGGATTTTGGGCTGGCGACGTCATCGGTCCATATTTCTTTGATTACGACGTTGGCCAGTCCATCAATGTCAACGGCGAGCACTACAGGTCGATGATTACAAACTTCTTTTGGTCTAAATTGGATGATCTGAACACTAACGACATGTGGTTTCAAAAGGACGGTTTTACGTGCCACACAGCTCATGCCACATTGGATAATCTTCTCGAACGATTTGAGGGCATGATCATCTCACGTGGATGTGAAGTGAACTGGCCACCGAGATTGTGTGAATTGACTCCGTTAGAGTTTTTCTTGTGGGGTTTTCTCAAGTCGCAGGTGTATGCTAATAAGCCACAAACCACACTGGTCCTCCAAGCCATCATAACCCATGTTTTGATATATTCTTTCTCTTTGAAAAGTATTCTTTCATTTTCTACTCATTGATTCCAACAAAACACACTGTAACAAAACCAATTGTGATACTCAGTTATGTTATTGCACTAAGATATGCATATACCGAAATACATATTTCAACAGATCCAGACGAAATTGGGAGTATTCGCTCTTTCATACATACCGAGGGTTGTGGGATAAACCAACAAATCAGTTGAGTATCGCCTGAGTCAACACAGTTTGAAACACGAATCTCTCGGGAATAGTGGAATATATGCTGCTCTTACGAATATCTCAAATATTATCAGATATATTTGAGAAACAGCCCTTCAATGAATTCAAATATTTACTTATAAAATTAGACACAACGAAAGTGTATTATATATCTCATTCGATATTTATATACAGGGATGTTCGTCCACAAATCACAGATGAAGTCAGTTCTCAAAAAATCTATAGAGTGTCCTCTTATCTTTCGAACGGAAATATCAAAATGTTTATTCGAACTGATAATCGAATCAACCGTTCCGATATACAGATAAACAATCAATATCATATTTTTCGAATAAAATATATTCAAAATTCACTCCCGTTTACCCAGGCCCGGGGGAAGCTCTCTGGCTGACAGAAACATCCTTATCTGGCCATTGGTGGTGCCACAGTAACACACCGCCAGCGGTCATGGAGATCGTTCTAGATCTACCCTCCTCCACATTTTTCTGGAGAGAGAGATAGGCTAGATGGACTGTATATATACTTGTGCACATTGCCAATTGCACAAATTAATTAAATGCAGAGTGCAACAGACTGTTGGTTAACACTGGAAGTCACGGTATTCTGGAAATGACCTCTGACTTTATGCCTCCAACTGTCAACTACGATCTACCTTATAAAGTACTGTTCCCGAGTAGAGAGGACTGGATCCTCCGGGAGAAGGAAATAATAAGAGCAGATAGTTGTTGGTTCACAGATGGTTCAGAAACACCTTCCGGTTCTGGTGCAGGTGTTTTCACTTGCAGACCCAGGACATAGAAATCAACCTGGCTAGGAACCTATGCGACTGTATTTCAAGCGAAAATTTACGCTATTGAATTGTGTGCGGAGAGATTGAAAGAATCTAACGTCATACAGAAGTCAATGAAAATATTCTCGGACAGTCAAGCGGCGTTGAAAGCTCTTGGCTCACACCGAGCAACGTCTAAATTGCTAGCAAATTGCCAAAAAGGACTCTCTTCGATAGAAAGACTTAACGGATTGTTTACGGTCTGGATTCCTGGCAATACTGACCTGGAAGGCAATGAAGCTGCTGATTCTCTTGCGAAAGAGGGTACTACAAGCAACTTCATCGGACCAGAACNAATTCCGGTTTGGCGCAATGCTATTGGAACGGGGTCAGTTGCCCAAGGGGTTTGCACCCCTTTATATTTATAATTGCGAATATACTGCTCACTGATGCATCGTGGCTATTAGCTAAACGATTTTGCTTTACTGTGAAAGCGGTCATTTTTGCTCTCTTGACTCTCCAGGAACTTTTGTTGTCCGAATATTCATGTGGATGTTATAAGCATGTTTTTGAAGTGATCACCGTTTTGAAATAAAGTTACATTCAGTGAAAATTTTTCAAAAACTTGTATTGATGCGAAAGACCATTCTCCACTCTGTTTTTAAACATAATTTCCACCATCGTAGGACTAGACATCAGACTACCACTGCAGAACGCTCATCACCGTTGTGGCGTTTTCTAGCTAGATGTACCTTCATTTTCAGAAAAATAGTAGTTACCCAGCGCTAGATCGGGACTGTATGGAGGGTGGACCGATTGTTCCCAGTCAAATGACAGAATTTCCGCCTACTTCCTTCTTTATCGTGAATGTTTGTGCAGCCATCTCAAGAGGTTCTAACCTATTTACGTATCA